ACACACAATTCAGTGAATATAAAAATGTGCAATTCAGTGAAAGTACACAATGTAAAAGAACCTGAGTATACACTCCTCTCTGCTTTTCAAAAATTGATAACAATGTATTTTATTTTAACTGAGGTATAGTTCACATAACATAAAACTCACCAATTTAAAAATGTACCGTATGGGATTTGGGTGTGTATCTCAGGGGTTGAGGTCTTGGCTTGATCTCCAGCAGCAAAAAGGGAGGGGCTGACAATACACTGATTTTAGTATATTTCCAGTATGACATCCATCCCTACTATCTAATTCCAGAATGTTCCCATCACTTCCAGTGTATTTTTAATTACTGAAGATTTTTATTTTTAAATTTCTTATTAGCACATGTTTGCCATAAATAATGATTACATTCATGTGGGGAGCTGGTACATGTATGTAACACATTTTAAGTCTGTTTCTCTTTCTCCTCCTTCCATTCCTTTCCTACCATTAAAATGAATAATAGAAAAACTAACGTATGTTTGTTACATGTCCATTTTCAACACATCAGTTCCTGGCCAGCCTTTATCCATAATCCGACTCTGGGTTATTCAGAAGCCCCAGTATAAATTAACAGTGGGAAATACATTAGCCTACACAAGCAGTTTAAATCAGAAGGAAGCTTTACTTTCGATGAACATACTGAACAGGCTCGCTGCTTGCTCTGAAGAATGAAAACCTTGTTTTCTGGAGGCCAAGGCTGTGCTTCTCTTACTGGCCACATTTGCTTAGGCTTGCCCATCCCCGCACTGACTAGCCATTGCCACAGTGTGACGGGGTTATGACTGCTTTAGGGAAACAAACTGAAGGAGGACATTGGATAATACTCCACAGCTATGACTAGTATTTGTGTATCAGTGTTTTGGACATACAGGTGAAGGACACTATCCTTCTTGCTTTCATTTCTTCCCCACAACGAACAAACCTACATGCAGAATCTTTGTCTGCAACTGGTTCTTGGCAGTTTAGAGCTCTAGATCCTCTTTCATATTTCTCATCAAAGTCTTTTTCCCCACCAGTAATGCGTATGCACTGTATACTTCAGCCAAATTATACCTGGTAAGCCTCCCTGCATTTATCATGCTTAGTCCCAAACCCAAGCGTCTGCTTATACTAACCCTATGCCTGAAGGAAACCTCTTGCTCTTCCTCATCTATATTTTCCCCCATTACAGTAGTTTCTCTCGCAGGGGATTGCACTACTCCTTTTATTGGGGTGCAATATTTGCATACAACCTTGGAACGTCCTCTAAATCTTCTCTAGATTACTTGTAGTACTTAATACAGTGTAAAATGTTGTATGGTTAGAGAATAATGACAAGAAAATCTCTATTCATGTTCAAAAGAGATACTGTTTATTTTTAAATATTTTTTGTCCATTTTGGGCTCTATCACAGATTCTGAAACCATGGTATGGAGGACTAACCATACTATATACAGACCCACTTCCTATTCTAGGGCCGCATGATCTTCTCTACCTGATGTGGACCATAAATACAGGGACATGCGATTCTTAACGAGAAGGCAGTCATTTGACAAATTTGTCATTGTGTGAGCACATGTTTTGTACTCACACAGACTGAGATGGCTACATCACCAGGCAATATAATCTTACCTGTCCCCCAGTCACACACAGTTACACCTGTGTGACTATATCCTGAGGTCTTAAATTTTATATTGTCTTCTTATCATGAACTTTAATTTTCTTCAGCAACAGTTCTTGAATTTCCATATGCTATGTCATATATTCATATATACACGTTATAGTTCATGTTTTGTTTCTACTTGTTCCCAAAATAATGTTGACATACAGCACATATCAGTAAACACTTATTGTATGAATTAATTACCCAAGATTCATGTGATATATATTTCTAACAAGATTTTGTTTGTGCATATTTCCTTGGATGCCAAGGCACTGTACTCATACACATTTTTGTGTTGGTAGTGCAGTAGTTATTCTAATGCAGCTGGGAAGAGATCTTTCCATTTGTATGTTAGTGTTGTTTTTTTTTTTTTTTTTGTGGTACTGGGGATTGAACTATGCAAGCACTCTACCACTGAGCTACATCCTCAGCCCACATGTTAAATGTTTTCAAGCTACTTGAAATTACATATATGTGATAAATGGCAGTTTTGCTGAAGTCCAAACTGAGTCTCATTCTAATTAGTGGTTTTATTGGGGTACCCAGTTATTAGTGATCCTTGGTAAATCTACAATACAGCTTTGTTGTCCTATATTTATTGTCATATAAACTAACTTGCATTGATGATTATAAGGGAATTCCTTAAAATTTTGAATCATACATTGCTGCCGTTTATCAACTTCATTACTAGCCATAATGCCATTTATTAATTTGAAGTCTTAGAACCCTTCATCTGTGTTCTTTGCAAATTCCAAAGGTTTTTATTATAGTTCCCTCTCCCATTCCACTTCTTTTTTCTCTTTAAATTAATGTCAGCTTTTCAATCCCTTACTTAAAAATATATTGAAACACATTAAGAAATAAGTTGAAAGGAGTCTGGGGTGAAAAAAATGCAGTGTTTTAACTGTGTACAAGAATTAGGGGCCGAGTCCCCTTTTCGTCTGGTTTTAGAATGAATGGCTCTTTAATGGATGGGGTATTCCAACATGCCTGATTTAAAGTCTGTTGTGGCGATAGTTTTCATGCCAGTAACATATGTGAATTAAATTAAATTGCATTGCAGGATCCAGCCAGTCCGCTCTGACCCAGTCAGCATGCCAGGGTCATCGCGTCCAGTCTCTGACCGAAGGGGAGTCTCTACAGTGATTGATGCTGCCTCAGGTAGAAAACCTGCTTCCAAATGTTTGTCGGGCATTTCCGTGCATTTTAAAGTTCACTTTCTTGCGCACTGTAGAGGGTGATACTCATTTGCCTTCCTTTTTGGTTGGTTGTTTTCTTTTGGGGTTGTATTTTAAGGCAGCACTATGCCTGTATTTGTTACTAGACAGTGCCATGCGTTTAAATAGTCTTAAGACTGGTGAATGATGCGGTGGAGTTGGCACTTGATTAAATGTAATGAATATAGTATTGAAGGCTACAGGGTTGATGACTGTTTTTCCTTTGATCACTGAAATGTAGAGAAGCAACTTTGACAGAGAACGTAAATACAATATATGGATTCAATTTACTCAACCTGTTGAGTATCAAAGTGCCTGATCTGTGGATGCAGAGAAGGTCCAAATGCTTGAGCTTGAATGGTTTTATTATCAAAAGCATAAAATTTAGAAATTCATTAACTTGCCTCCTGTCTATCACAGTTATTAATTTTCTATCCTTGGAATCAAACTATGAATATGTATCATTAGTACCTGGAAGGAGACCTGTGCCTTTGTACCTGATAGTTGCTATCTTAAAAATGTTTTCAATGAAGCCTGCTACATAATAGAGCTGCTGGTAATAATACGTTTTCTCATCTTCAAGATGAATGACAAAGAAAGTAAGGACAGTGATGACTTGCATTATGGTACAGCTGCAGCACATCTGAAGATGGCATACAGCAGGATTTGGTCTGGAAAAGTCTCTCACAGATAGAAGTATTAAATACTCAGCATTAGTCCAACAGTTGAGTCAGAGAGGATTTTAATCCATCGTGATTTCAAAATCCCTGGAGACTGCTGATTTGATTGAGGCTTAAACTGTGAAAGAAAGTGGAAACCATCACAGAACTGATTTGTAAAGGTCACTTTTAAAAGGCCAAACCTTCTGTTTCTGACTCTGTCTCTCAGTGTATTTTTAAGTTTCAAAACTAGTGTAGTTTGTACATTTTCTTAGCTTCCTGATTTGTAGGTCAGTGGATTATGCCTTGTGTCTTATTGAGCTGCCTATGTCTAGGGCTACACCTTGATTTTTAGTATAGATGACTTCTTTAGACGATTCATTCTTATTTCTGTGCTTTAACTTGGCAAATGTGGCTGTCTGCTAGAAGCAAACCCAGAAATGTGTAATCCATAACTTTGCTTCCCTGCATTGAATAGGATATTGAAATAGGTAATTTCAGTAATAATTGTTGATAGTCTCAGTCTGTGAGTGCTAATGAAGTGTGTGGGTCTGCAATTATCATTTATATCTTGGAAGTATTATGTATTTTACATAGTTTTTTGTTGTTATTGTTGTTTTTTGTTTTTGGGTACTGGGAATTAACCTCAGGACCTTGTGCTTGCCAGGCAGATGCTTGTGCTGCTGAGTTATATCCCCAGCAGTGTTCTGTATTTTAAACCCAAAGTCTTTCATTCAAGATTATAAGAGTAGGCCTTGATGTATTTAATAAATTCTTCAACTACCATATTATTAATGTTTTATTGCCAAGTGACTAGTTACCTGGAATGCAAGTTACCAAAGCAGTTACCAAGTGTTTTTAAAAGTTGGCATATTCATTACTATTGTTTGAAGCAGTATTCCATATTATTAAATAACATCGTAGTTCTATGTAGAGTTGTTAAGGAGAAACTTCAGTAAACTGTTGTATCCATAGTTTTCTTTAACTCTGCCGCCGAAAGTTTTAAAGTTGATCTTTGAGTAGCAAATTGGATATTTACCCTTGGTCTGTTTACATTTATATTAGCGATAACATCCTTGGAGTTTCTAGGATATTGCTCTGGGGTCTTGAGCCTCTGCCTGACAGTGCCAATCTTTTGAGTAGAGAAGGAATTTTTGGTGGCTATGCTCTGTTATTATTTCTTCTAGGCCTCTTTTCCCTCCAGAAAGCCATGGTTTCTTTCTGAGAGACAGTCAGAAAAATGAAACGTGTGTGCCGGTCTCTTTAGCTTTGAGCTAAAGACACCCCATAGATGAGGAATTGGACTTTTAGGAATAATTCTCCCTTCAAGTACCTCTCAGATGGTTTGGATCCCTTTTGAATGAGGAGTATGTGTTCTCCAGCATGGTTTTTGAACGAGTAATTTTTTGGTGTGGAACCTCCATATATGTTTTCTAATAGGATGACTGTTATTTATTGAAGTATGTCCCTGCTGATGTTTAAACATTCGAGCGAAAATGATTTGAGTTCTTTATGGAAATAAGTTTATGGGGAAAGTTCTATTTTAGATTCTTATATGTAAAAGAATCTAACTAATTTTATAATTGCTCTTGAACCAGGAAGGGTTTCTCACGTTACACATTGGAGTCTGCTGTGTAGTAGAAGCCTGCGTATCTCGGACTTGGATTGCCTGTTGCTTAGAGATAGTCCCCAGCACGTTGTCTCCTTTATTGGACTTCTTTGTTCTGCATTATTCCCCAGCATTTCATACAATTTGATGTATGTGAATTGCTCAGTGGCATGTATTATAGCTGTCCCTGTATTTTAAGGACATCTCTTCTTCTGTGTCATCTGTCACTTTTGTGTCTGGTATAATCATTTTTCATGTAATTACTTTTCAGAGGTACATAGATAAAATTTAATGTGATGTACTTACGTCCTTTGATAGAACATTTCTCTTAGTGAAAATACTTTATTTAAACCTTGGGACTAGAGTTTTTATTTTAGGTATCTGTGTGTTAATGTGTCAGTATTAGTCTGTTGAAACCAAGAGATTATCTGGGCAATGTACTATTTTGACCAAAAAAAAAGCTTTTTTCAGAATTTGTTGATCACATGATCTTTGTCTCACTCTTTCAGATGGAAGCACATTCTCTAAAATGTGTACTTTTTATATATTAACAAGTGATTTAAGCACAGGATAAATTCTATGTCTTTAGGTAACACGGAGTATCTCCTTACTATCTCTATTTTTTTCTCAGAAGTTCTATATGTGCTTGAGGAGTAGATGTTATTCATTATTATTATAGCTATATCATGTGGATTTTTTCTTTTTGCTTTTTTTTTTTTTTTTTTTTTTTTCCCTAAGACAGGGTCTCACTATGTAGTTAAGCCTGGCCTTGAACTCACTGTGTACTCCAGGCTGTCCTTGAACTTGGGGCAATCCTCCTGCCTCAGCCTCCTGAGTGCTGGGATTATAGGTGTGCACCACTATACCTGGTTATTATAACATGTATTTCATCTTTACTTTGGTTGTGCAAAAATACTGTGCTACCTGAAATTTAGAGGTTAGATTATTGTGAGGTGTTCTCATGGCTAAGGAAAAGACCATATGAAAATGGATAGCATGTAGGATTTTATGTGAAGAAAAAAGCTACCCAGAATAAATGGACCTTGAGGCAGCTGCTCAGTTGTTTCATATCTAATTAAAAACAATATCTTTGAATCATGATATTTTTTGACCAGCCATTAGATTGATTTCTTAACCCCCTCCACCCACATTCTTTTTGTTGTTTATCTGAGTCCTTCCCATTGTATCTTATAACATATATCCTTATTTTTAAAAGGTATAGGACTTCTAAAGAAAATGCAGAACAAATCCAGATGCAGCGGCACACACCTCTAATGTCAGCACAGTGGAAAGCTGAGGCAGGAGCATTGTGAGTTTGATCCCCACCTGAACACTTAGAGAAACTTAGTGAGACTCTGTCTCAACATTTTAAAGAAATGGTTTTTTCTTCACAAAGTTACAGAGATGTTGTTCTGTGTGAAGGTCCTGGGTTCAATTCTCAGTATGGCCCAGGGTGGGCACTGGACAGGGCCGAAAGACAGCTGCTGGTGTCTTATTTGAACTTTATCTCCCAGATGGGTGACAGATGTTTTTGTTCTAAGAGGTGTGGAGTAGACCTTTTAGATAACAACACTTTGGCTTGCTGTTGGGTCATTAAATCAGAGTCTATAAATACCTGGTTCACCTTGAGTTTGTCCTGGCTTATAGTTACAGTGTGGAGATTGAAGTTTACCAACAAAGAATTAAAAGCAACTGAGATTCAAGGACACATTTAGTTTTCTTCCTTAAATTTTAATTTTTGCCAGCACGTATTTGTAGTACGTGATGATTGCATGCACCGTGTTGGTATCTGCACGGGCCGCTGTTCCCCTCTCTTCTCCTCCCTCCGTCTCGGGCCTCTTGCCTTTTGCAAAAGATCTGTTTCCTTTAAAGGACAAAGTACCAGTTTACATGCAGAAGAGACGTCTTTGTGAACTCTGCTGAAGTAAAAACTTCGTAAATAAGCCTTATAAGAAGTGGTGAGGGCAGAGTGTATGGACGTTCCGGAGAAAGATGACAGTGGGGAGGATGGTTGTGACAGATAAGTAAAATGAATTCTTCAGAGCTGACCTTGCTGTAAAGCGTTTCAATAAATAGGGACAAAGTTGTAGACCTGGTTGCTTGTTGTTGTTCGTAATACAAGAAATAACAGTGTAACTGAAGTGTTGTGTTGTGTAACTGAAATAATTTATCAGAAATGAAAAATTATCCAATTTTGTAGGTAGATTTTGACCACCTAGGTTTTTTCCAATATCCAGATAGTTTTCTGACAGAACTTACACACTTAAAATCCCAAGCTGGTTTTATTGGATTCATTGTATGTGCTCATTTGGCGCCTACTTCTGTGTGTTACCTTTGGTACTTCAGGCACCAAAGCCGATACGGGGCTGTGGGAGGAGCCCCGGGGTAGAGCTCAGCCTTAGTGTGTGCGAGGCCCTCGGTTGATCCCCAGAGACAAATAATGCATGTGAGAGAGAAATGACTGGGTGAGTGGCAAGAAGATTATTGATCAGTTTTCATTTCTTCGTGCAGTCAGATCTGTGTGGGCGGGACTTCCTTAAAGAGCATACTTTTACCTCGTGGAGGTTTTCCTGATGCACCGAGGGAAAAGTATTCCTAAGGATTCTGTTTTACCGTCTCTGTGATTGCCGTTCTCACCTGAGGTGAACAGACTCAGCCACCGTAGTTTAAAGCCAT